CGTTCTAGTGTTGGCTGCGGAGGTTGCTTCAATGAGGGTCTCTGTCAATGTCTTTGATGCCCCTACCGATAACGGGGGAATAGGAGGGGGAGGGGGATCTGGCATTTTTCGCAATGTATGGGGTAAGAATGTTACGATTGCTTGGAGTATGATAATAAGGTATGAATAGCTTCTACGTCAAAGCTAGATAGTTGAATCCTCTGTCTCTAGAATAGTAAATAAATGAATGATTATTCGTGACGGGCACAGGCCTTGCACTCATGGAGCATGGCACGGAGAAGGCTTGCCCTTTCCCGACGGCTATATACGACGGTGTAACTCGGAGGGCAACACTGAACACCTGTACGCGGTGTCCTCTACGAACCTGGGAGTGAAATGTTCTCCTAGAGCCAAGTTCAGTCAAATTTCGCAGTATCAAAGAAGTTGGCCCACGAGGCAATGATTCAATTTACTCCTCCACGTCGTTCTTTTGCTCTCAAAGAGCTTGACTCCTATCTAAGTCTCATTAAGTCTACAAGTACGACCTAGTACATCCTCATCCCAATGACCACAACTCTCTTCGACCTTCTCTGGCCTCAGCTGGTCACCAAATATACGCCCACGCCGATATTTATACGCGACGGAGGAAGCAAAGCGTGGCGCACAAATCTAAGATACAGTTCTTTGGGATGGACGTGAGAGGGATCAGGACAAGTTGACAAGATGATGCAAAAGAAGGATATAACCTCGAAGGGCGTGAAATTTCGAAGTTTGGCAAGCAGTTTTACGAATTGAGCTTTGTGCGCGCCAAGACTTCGCTTGCGAGAGTGCAGCTGACACTATAAACTCAAGTCAACGATGGAAGGTGTTGTGGTCCGCCTCCTGGTGGTGTTCTCTGGTATAGTTTGAGTAGCCTGGGCACCTATGCCACTTGGGAAGGAGACATCTCAGACCATATTTCGCGCGGAGAAAAGTTGAAAGACGATGGAGGCATGTCTGGATAACTCAGGGTTTTTGAGACGTTTCCCTGGGTGGGTATTCATGGATGAGGGTTGACATGGGGTGAAGAAAAAGCTGCCATAATTTCGCAGTGGTACTTGCAAATGGATTCCGAGGCATGAGTGCTCTTCTTATAAATTGAGTCATTTCTTCTGTACTTTTCTTTGATATTTTGTCATAGCTAGATAGCTGCATACGCAATTAAAATCTAATGCAAAAAAAAAAGGACGGTGTGACCCAGTGTTACAGGCCGTGGCCTGGTTTATCTGGAACCGGAGTTTATCCGGCTCCGAATAGGCGTTATACTTATTTTGGGAAAAGCCTCGACTCTGCTTAGTAAAGTTTCGCGAGTGACGCGACGCGACATGTTTATATTAGCCAAAACCCTTCGTAGCTACAACTTTATTCTCTAGATAGTAAATAAATTCATTTATAACTTACGATTGCGAGAAGCTGACGTACCGTCCTCTTACACCGACACTCTAAAAACAGGCAACGATGGAAGGTGTTTTGGTCCGCCTCCTGGTCGTCATTTCCCCAAATTAAAGCCTGGGTAGCCTGGACACCTACCTCACTCGAGAAAGAGAGAACTATGAGGCCATATCTCGTGCGGTGGCTATATACAAGATGACAAAGGCATGTTAGGGTAGCCAAAGGTTTTTCATGTTTTCTCTTTGGTGGATATTAACGGTGGAGGGAAGGGTGAAAGTCCCTAGCACCAAGGTCTCGAGTGGTATGAGCGAATGCACCCACTACATGAGTAGTCCAAATATCAAACTGATTTATTGTCGTATATATATATCATTCATTTTTCCTGATTTGGCGCCTTGAGGCCCGTGCAGGTTTTACCGGAAGATATGTGCTTTAAGTAGGATGACTCAATTTGTGTTGTGATCAGACCCACTTATAGATCACACAACTTGGAATGGCTAGTATTGGGCAAGTGAACCAACAGGACAAGCGACCCTGCGTCAATGATACGTCATCGGCAGACAGCAATGACAACACCAGTATCTCAACCATACATGATTATATGATAATATGACGCAGGTATATCTAATGACATAGTTGTTGAATGGCTGAATGATTGACAGTTATTGCTATTGATGGTATATTGTATGTATTGTCTTTGTGTATAAATACTCGCTGCTAGACCTCTGTATATGATCAACCTTTTCCACTCTTATATTCAATAGTCATCAATATAGCAGATCTACAATATATATCTGTCTTCTTCACGTTAGACTTAAAGTGCTATCCTACATCAACCCAAGTTGACTGTTACACCCATTGTGACAATTCTTAGACTTCTCATAACCTCGTTAATACAATAATTTGATGTTTAGAACACTCACTCTTAGATTTCATTTGTAGATACCACTCGAAGTTAACCCTTACGGCGTATAACCTCTTCCGTGCATACCCACCACAGGGAAAAGCGAGAAAACCCTGTAGCTATCCGAGTGTGCTTTCATCATCCCATAAGTACAATACCACCGCGAGAGAGAGTAGTGTGTGGGTTTGACTGGATTCAAACCAGCTTTCTCCTGTCTCGAATGGGGTAGGTGTTCAAGCTACCCAGTATCTACTTGGGAGAACGGCCCTAATGGTGTAACACTGCACCATCCAACCCCAAATTGTCGTATATAGTCGCCGGAGAGGCTAGTCTTTTCCTTGTCATGCTCTTTGAGTGCAAGGCTTATGCCCGTCACGAATAAATTTTCATTATCATCATTGAGGACTACATTACCGTCCACACTCCATTTCTTTTTTTTTAAATCATTCAATGTGTATTCAGCTAGATAGCTATGACACATGACCGGTGCTATGTATACATGTTGAATGACTATTTTGACGTTAGAGACACTCTTACTCTGAATTTCATTTGCAAATACCACTACGAGGTATGCTTGTTTACACAAACAGGCGACCTGCCTCCACAAGTAACCACCAAAGGGAAATTGAAAATCTTTGATTATCCAAGCATGCGTTCGTTATCCATGTGTACCAGTGGCGCGAGAAAAAATGGTTGTGTTTTGCCGATCATGAATCAGCGATCTACTGTCCCGAGTGGGACTTGTCCACCCTATTTAGATTCTGCTTGGCAGACCGGCCAAGACGATGTACCATCGCACCATCCAGCCACAGCGATGTTGACTGTGTCGCCTGCATTCTTGTTGAAGAGGTAAGAGCTTACGGGGGTTTATTGGCAGAAGATCTACGGATGATGATCGATTAATCAATGTGAACTGCTGACATACTTGGTATTCAGTACTGTGAGGATTTTTAATGTAGAAAGCGCTATTTATTTCCACGCTGAAGTAGCTAGACTCTCACCTTATTTTCCCAAAACAGTATCACGGAATGTTACAGTCTACTCCATCTGGTAGTAATATCTAGAAACAAGGTTTAATGGTGCAGTTGTACATCGTTCGGGCCGTTCTCCCAAGTAGATACTGGGTAGCTTGAACACCTACCCCATTCGAGACAGGAGAAAGCTGGTTTGAATCCAGTCAAACCCACACACTACTCTCTCTCGCGGTGGTATTGTACTTATGGGATGATGAAAGCACACTCGGATAGCTACAGGGTTTTCTCGCTTTTCCCTGTGGTGGGTATGCACGGAAGAGGTTATACGCCGTAAGGGTTAACCTCGAGTGGTATCTACAAATGAAATCTAAGAGTGAGTGTTCTAAACATCAAATTGAGTCATCCTACTTAATGTACATATCTTCCGATAAAACCCGCACGGAACTCAAGTTGCCAAGCCAGGACGATGAATGATTTATTTATTGTCGAGAAACACTTTCTATTCAGTGCCCCATTATTCCTCTACTCATCATCGAACTACCTGGAAAGTTCTTCCTTCACCCTCGGTTATCATTACCCTTGTGCATCGTAATCCTGGTCATCACCAGCACAACAACTCTCATGACCTGATTCCCAAGCACGTGCACACAATGAAATTTAATTATCAAAAACTGCTTGACAAAATTCGAATTTGTACCCCCAAGGAAACAATATACATCCTTTGGATCATCTTGTGGACTTGTCCTAATATCTTTCACGTCCATCTCCAAGAATTGTCTCCCAGATTTGTGCACCACGCTTTGCTTCCTCCGTCGGGTGTGAATATTGGAATGGGCTTGTATTGGTGGCCAGACGAGGCCAGAGAAATCTGACAAGAGGTGTGGTCATTGGAATGAGGATGTATCAGGTCGTGCTTGATGAGACTTAGGTTGGAGTCAAACTCGTCGGAAGCGAAAAAACGACGTAGTAGAGTATTTTGAATCATTGCCTCGTGGGCCAACTTCTTTGATGTTGCGAAATTTGACTGAACTTGGCTCTGGAAGAATACTTCACTCCCAGGATTGTAGAGGGTACAACGTACAGGTGCTCAGTTTCGCCCGCTGTCCACATTCATCACTTCATCTTCTACTTACAATCACCAAAATATAACAAATAAAATTTTTCTCACCACGATCTTGCGAAATGTCTCAATATTCAGAAATTTTCGCTGATCAGAACAAGATCTCAATCGAACACATTTTGAAGCAATTTCGTAACAACTACGTACCAGAGGATATTAGATACATTATTATTCACCTAAAAGCTAGGTAACTTCAGCTAACAGGGTAGATGTCACAAATTACTTTGATGATTTATATAAATACACGTATCATCTAGAAAATGATAACATGTTCACACTGAGTGACCTGTTTCGCGATACGGAGACGGCAATCAAAAACATCTAGCAAAATTTGACCGATTTAATCAACTTATCGGGGATATTTTAAATGAGGTGGAGCTGTACGAAATACTAGAAAGTACCATTTGTCTTGGTGAAACCACATGTCACGATGTGACTCTACTTCAAAGCGTTCAAAAAATCTCCAGCAGCATCGAAAAGCTGCACCGAACACCTACACCAAGATCTTTGAGCGAAGTACATTAGAGGTATTGGCCTCTTATTAAGATCGCAAATACCCTTGCCCATGCCATACAATCCGAACTTTAAGATGATGTGCTCTCTGGAATCACAGATTTCTGGGATGTGTTTTTCTAAAGGAAAGTTTGATCCAAGAAGACTTCCCGCATTTGGGAGTGTTACAAAACTTACGAAGAAATTAAAGAACGCAAAAGATTCACATCAAACCAGAAAATAATAACCCTTAAAGATGACATAATTGAGAGACAAGTGTGGGATTGGCTTGAGTTTTTCGGGGAGAAGTTTTTGAACCAGCTTGATGTGCCTACAGAAGAAACATTGGAAAACTACAAACTCATCATAGAATAGAACGGGTCCCAACTTCCAAGGCAGTATTGCAACATAAAGATTATGGAAAGTACAGTCAATTCTGCAGCCGAGGCTCAAGCTGACTTCATTGGTCGAAGTACCGAAATATTTGGGGAGAAGCCTCATTGGAGAGACGTGAAAGTGGTTGCTGAGTTTACGAATAAGGCCGATAGAAATGTAAAGAATAGGTGGGCAAAAATCTACACCTCTACGTTGTGCCCTCTACGAACCTGGGAGTGAAATATTCTCCCAGAGCCAAGTTCAGTCAAATTTCGCAACATCAAAGAAGTTGGCCCACGAGGCAATGATTCAAATTACTCCATGTTACGATATCAGACAACGAGGTAGTCGAGGCAAGGGCATCGCGTGTGGCTCAAGGCTACAGCATACATCACTAGTGTACTGGTTAGGCGAGCATGTATACAGTTTCATAGATGTATCCACAATAAATGGACACAGGTTTAGTCTTATATTTTCTGTCCATATACCTACAGCATAATATTGTATGAGTCTATTCATTGTCAACCACAAATTATAACATCATCTACTTCTCATCACTCCGCAATGTGACTTCCGCATAGCTCATAACCACAATACTCCTCCACGTCGTTCTTTTGCTCTCAAAGAGCTTGACTCCTATCTAAGTCTCATTAAGTCTACAAGTACGACCTAGTACATCCTCATCCCAATGACCACAACTCTCTTCGACCTTCTCTGGCCTCAGCTGGTCACCAAATATACGCCCACGCCGATATTTATACGCGACGGAGGAAGCAAAGCGTGGCGCACAAATCTAAGATACAGTTCTTTGGGATGGACGTGAGAGGGATCAGGACAAGTTGACAAGATGATGCAAAAGAAGGATATAACCTCGAAGGGCGTGAAATTTCGAAGTTTGGCAAGCAGTTTTACGAATTGAGCTTTGTGCGCGCCAAGACTTCGCTTGCGAGAGTGCAGCTGACACTATAAACTCAAGTCAACGATGGAAGGTGTTGTGGTCCGCCTCCTGGTGGTGTTCTCTGGTATAGTTTGAGTAGCCTGGGCACCTATGCCACTTGGGAAGGAGACATCTCAGACCATATTTCGCGCGGAGAAAAGTTGAAAGACGATGGAGGCATGTCTGGATAACTCAGGGTTTTTGAGACGTTTCCCTGGGTGGGTATTCATGGATGAGGGTTGACATGGGGTGAAGAAAAAGCTGCCATAATTTCGCAGTGGTACTTGCAAATGAAATCCGAGGCATGAGTGCTCTTCCTCTACGTTGAATCATCTTTTCTGTACTTTTCTTTGATATTGTATCATAGCTAGATAGCTGCATACGCAATTAAAATCTAATGCAAAAAAAAAATTTAGTCCCGGTGTTTAGGCCTCCCCTGGCTGGGGCTGCAGGTTTTTATGAGACTTTTTCACGCGCACGAAGTTTCCCATGATACCGTTTTTTTGGGTAGAAGGTTTCGCGGAAAAAGTGGCCGAACTCCACGGGTAAACCCTGAGCTTAATGGCTATTCATCACGGGCAATCTATCAATGATATTACAAGTAACAAAAGAGGCAAAGAGCACTAAAAAAGATGTGGCCTGGACCAGAGAGAAGCTCAATGTGCTAGATGGTCTAAGACACAAGTAGTTCAATAAACACACCTCTCTCTCCCTTTGGCATACACACAATGCAACGCTAGATGTCGCATCTGCGCCAAAAATAAATTACGTTAAATGATATATTATTTCCCTTATAAGCCTGAGTCTTAGGCTCTTTTTTCAACCTGAATTTCCCGAGCAGATTAATTAGTAGAATGCTGGAATATCCTTTCAAGTGCTGGAGATTGAGCGATATGCGTAAACTGCGGCTTAGCTCATCACGAAGTCTGGAGGGCAATAAAGGGTGGGCTTTTGAGTCACCGGCATGGTCAATAGCATTAGAAAAATGGTGCAATAGTATACGACCATAAATCTAAGGCAGGAGCTACTTATTTTTGGCTTGGTCTTGTAGGTTTGCGAAATGTTAGGAATGTTTTGCAATTTGGGCTATTCTGTTTTGGGAAGAAAAAGGTAGGATTGGGCGTGTGATTAAGCAAATTTTGATGAATCGACTGTGGCCGCAAGAAACATTTGCTCAACGCTAAGTTGCTAGAAAGATAGATACGTGTGAATCTCAAGAATCCTGGTCGTCCAAGCAAGACGGAGTGACATGCTAGGGAATGGGAGCAGCTCTCTTTTTAAATCATTTAATGTGTATTCAGCTATCTAGCTATGACACATGACACATGACCGGTGCTGTGTATACATGTTGAATGACTCCTTTGACGTAAGAGACACTCATACTCTGGATTTCATTTGCAAATACCACTATAAGGTATGCTTGCTTACACAAACAGTCAACCTCCTCCACAAGTACTCACCAAGGGGAATTTCAAAACCATTGGTTATCCAAGCATTTCTTCGTCATCCATGCATATCAGCGCCGCGAGAAAAGTAGTTGTGTTTTGCCGGATTTAAACCAGCGATCTACTGTCTCAAGTGGGATATGTGTCCAAGCTATCCAGTCTCTACTTGGCAGACCGGCCAAAACGATGTACCACCGCACCATCCAACCATTGCGCTATCCACAGTGTAACCTGCACTCTCGCAACAGAAGCCTTGACACGCACAAATCTCAATCTGTAAAACTCCTTGCCAGAGTTCAAAATTCCGCGCCTGTCGAGACTGTATTCATCCTTCGCATCATCTTGTTAACTTGTCCTAAATCCTCTCACGCCAATCCCAAAAAAACTCCCCCAGATTTGTGCGCCACGCTTTGCTTCCTGCATTGGGTATAAATATCGGCGTGGGCGTATATTTGGTGGTCTACTAAGGCCAGAGAAAGTCGAAGAGAGTTGTGGTCATTGGGATGAGGATGTACCAGGTCGTACTTGTAGACTTAATGAGACTTAGATAGGAGTCAAGCTCTTTGGGAGCAAAAGAACGACGTGGTGGAGTAATTTGAATCATTGCCTCGTGGGCCAACTTCTTTGATATTGCGAAATTTGACTGAACTTGGCTCTGGGAGAATATTTCGCTCCCAGGTTCGTAGAAGACATCGCGTACAGGTGTTCAGTCTTGGCCTCCCCGCGTAACCATTGCACCAACCAACCCGGTGTGATTACCCCACATCCTGTTCCACACACAAATGTAGCGCACGCAAGAAACCTCATACGTCTGGGGGCCTTTGACCGCGCCAAGCGCCCTCCTGAGGGCTCAGAGGATGTGCCCTGCCCGTGAGCCTAGTTGGCCTTAAATATAAACTTACTTGCTATTTACTGAGATTAAGAGGAAGTATGCGAAGCATTTACACACAACGAAAACTGAAGTAATCTTTTACCTTACCGCTAGAATGAGAGGCGACAAGCTGATGGAAGCCCAGAATAACTAGTAGAATAGGCATGTCCCAAACTTAAATGTCCGAGAAGAAATCAAGACGACCTAACTCCTCCCAATGGAGCTTCTCTCGGCTCGGAAATCTCCAGGTCAGATACTTGCAGCTGGCGCTGGTCATGGAGACTTTACAGTCTGCCACAACCATTTCAAACACGAAGCAGCTGGGTCTAGCTGCCTGTGGATCACCAAAATCTCCAGTATACTTTTGCCGAGCCCTCCCTCGACGAGATGGCCGCCCTGCTAGGCCTATGAATCAACTCTGTACCGACCTACTAGACACGAGTGCTGAAAGACTGACTGAATGCCCGGCAACGACCTAGTCTCCTGGAAAATTTCGCTCTCGACGGGCAAATACTTCATGCCCATATGTTCCGCGTCTTTTGAAAATTTCGGAGTAAATTTAGAAAATGAAGAGCAGCCAGACTAACATCCTCGAATCGACGAGGAGAGCTGTGGATTATTCTGCTTCAAAGCGTACTTCTTCCCCGTCTGCAATCTAAGATGAAGCAGTGCAGCTTTGTAGCTTCTATTCTCAGACCTAACTTGGCTAAGTACCAAGCTCTAGAGCTCCGGCTCCAGTATCCTTTGTCCCAAGCGGGAAGGATAGTAAATGCTCAGGGCTTATAATTGTCGACGTAGGCTTTCAGATCATCATAGGGCTTGACCCTCACTGTCCATGAGAACATAGTTAAAAATTGTAAAATTGGAAAGGAAATCATTTAGCTAGTATCTTATATATAGATTCTAGGAGTCCTCTATGGTCATTGACTCAGTTAAGACTATTATATAAATCTAATCTAATCTAATCAGATCATAATCAGAGCTAATTCAGATACTTGAGTTTCACGATAGAGCAAGTTGGGCTCCTCTTTGACCCAGGCCGCACCGCGTACGCTGCTTCCATCCATTTTTACCAAGATAAAACACCCTTGATATTATATCCGAGATGGATGTGTAATTGGCTCAGCACTTGTAAGCAAATGCCATCACCCAGAGTACATAACATCACCTTCGCACCGCTAGTTCTCGTTACATTTACTCCTCACGTACGAGATGCTATGCCCATTCAACAGAACACTCAATACAATTGACTCATCCGTGTGTTTAGAGCAACAAGTAAATAAAATAGATCCGAGGTAAATAAGAGAAGGGTAGAAAAATTGGCAAAAAAACATTGTTTATCCGAAAGGCATTTACCTTTATATCAAAAAGATTTTCTCAAGACTTCACCCCAGTCAACTGAATTAATTTCTCCTCTTGAATCTAACCAAAACTCCTGGCAGCACGAGCTTTCGACTTGCGCATCTGAAAAAGACCTTTGCGGCTTCGTCAATTATCTTTAGTTCGAACCAGTTTTGTAGAAATCTTCTAAGTCGTATTCATTTACGTTGTATAATCGAGAACCAAGTTAGTCATGTATACTTACATAATGATTCTTTAATTCCTGATCAAATGACCCCCAGACGATCCGCAGAAAGAAATACGCCAAACAAATCGTAGCTCTAGATCTTGGTATAGCTGACGTGAAGCTTATATACATGAATGTCCAGAAGTTTTAGGTTTCTACATCAGGTTCTTGTCAGTTACCTGTTCATATCTCGCTTTACATAGTAAACCTAGCATTTCCTGCCTCCATTTCTCATGATAAGATTTATATCAAAGTTAACATGGATTGGTCGCATATTAGTTTTACATTTAGAGGTCAAATTAACCAAGTACTCTAATATATATTGCTGGTTTAGGTAGCAGTGTAAACATCACGTAGAGAACATAAGAGAAAAGAAATCTCATTCATGTAAGTTTCTGCAAAGGTTACATCTTGAAGCAAGATTAGTTTGTATTCGTCTGTTGTAGGTAGTCTATTTTTCCTTTGCTAATTATGCATGCTTGCCTCGTCCCTTCGCTTTTCTCATCTGGCGCTTGCGTTGGATTATCTGGCTTTTCTTGGCTAGTCTTTGCTCAGTGTCATTATCTGACGCTGGCTTTTTGCTGGTCTTTTGGTTGCGTCCATCGGCTGGTTTATCCGTTTCAGGGTTCTTCTTCTTACCATGAACCTTCTCTGGCTTTACAATAAGTTTGGTGAAAGATTTGGCATGGGTTTCGTGGTCCCCTTTCTTGCCCTTTCTTGTTTTAGCCATGAGTTGGTCTTTTCCCAATACTTTCTTTTTCTCCGGCATCTCTCCACGCTCTCTGGCCTTCAATACATCCATACTTCTTGTTCGAGCCTTTTCTTCGCTCGCTTTCCTCCGCTGCACTACCTGGACATTTTCGATGGCAAATTCTACGATTAACCTTTGTGACTTTCCACTTGAGCTCTTAACGACGTGACCATTAAGCCATCTTAATCCCATGAGAGCCCAGCGATGTGAATGATATTCTATGAATCCATACCCACGACTCCTGCCGGCACCAGAGTCTTCGGAAATTTTTTTACCTTCGCGTCCTTCATAAACAATCTTGGCTTGTCGTACAATTCCCTTCCCTTTTGATTTACGTAATTGTTCTGCCAGACGATCTTCTTCACCACCGCGAGATTCTTCTTCTTTGGAGAGCTGAGATCGGATACCTGACTTTACGTCTTTTGCGAATCCTACCACTGCCTCACGGGCCAACGCTTTTAGATCTTTTGAAGTAATTTGTCGAGGAAGATTCCGAACCGATAACCTGGTCAATGATAGATGCAACATTGGATTATTTTGAATCAGTTTTTTTCGCTGCTTGGCAGAATCTTCACGCATTTTTATTTCAGAGGGAGATAGAGTCTCGTATAATGGTGTGCCGGAGGCAACTGTCCCTTCGTTAAGAAGATACAACTTGCGTTTGTCTTTATCTCTATCAATTCGAAAGGATGTGCCGGCTTCTGTTAATTTTTGTGCGTCATCTCGTTCAACTGCTCTTGATATTTGTAGGACACGTCCTTCAATCGTGTACATACCATTAACATCGGATGCTTCATTCTCTAGAATAGAATGTTTAATGCTCAAAGCATTTGCACCAGTAGGCTGGTTTCGAGGTGCGCCACGATAGCACGAATCAGCGTCTTCTACATTATAGTAGCAGACAAAACCAGACCCTTTTGATCTGCCTGTCGTACGCTCCATAACAACTCTAGCATATCTTACAGGTCCGAATTGATCAAAATGCTCTTTAAGCTCCGCATCTAAAGTTGTGAAAGGAAGATTTCGAACAAACAAGGTCGAAGAATTATCAGTTATGAATGTTTTTATTGGGTTATCAGTTTCATTATTTTCCTCAAGACCGTCATTCTCATCCAGATCATCTTCCCAAGTTAAGTCGTCTTCGTTTAGACTAGATAATTTGGTGCTATCTTTTGAATGATCCTTCTGTTCATCAGCCATATCGTCTTCCGTCTCAGACTCAATCTGATCTCCAAATTTATTTAGGAAGTTCATGACGTCCAATTCTTCTTGATTCGCTAGAGCCGTAGAACTACATTTATTGTCTTCCGCGCATGCTTTGGATGTATAGCAAGATGGTGATTTGTCAATTTGATTCTCAATAATTGAAGTTTTACCTTCTGAAGGTTTTTTATTCAGACCCTCCCACAAAGACTTGTCCACAGCTCGGTCCACAGCTACTGTCCGTCCATCTATAGATGTTCCGTTAAGACATGCCATAGCTTTTTCGGCATTTTTCTTCCCTCTCATTGTTACGAAGCCAAAACCAGCTTGAGTATTGTCCTTTATTTTGGGTAAGGTAGCGAACTTAACTTTTCCGTATTTTTTGAATAGATCCGCTAATTGGTCAGGCGACTTAATACTCCATGGTAGATTTCGGATGATAAGCTTTGGGGGTGCCTTGGATATTGCCATTTCCTCCATTCTGGCTTTCTTGATAGCTGCAGCTTTTTCTGATATTTTACTTTTAGCTTTCCCATCTTGCCCATCTGCTTTGGTTAGCACCCTTGAGCGTGGTTCAGCGACTTCTATTTTAATTTTACGGCCCATAAAGACTGTGCCGTTTAGTTCCTCCTGAGCTTTCTGGGCATCATGTGCATCAGCGAAAGTGACAAATCCGTAACCCTTTGATTGTTTAGTTTCCGTATCGAGAACAACAGTTGCATGCTTAAGAGGATAGTTTTGAGAAAAGAAATTTGTTAGGGCCTCACTCGTCGCCAACGCTGGGAGAGCTCGCACGAAGAGTGTTCTTTGAGCTAATGCATTTGTTTCATTTCGCGGCCTCTTAACGGAGTTATTAAAATTATTATCAGTGGAAGTGTCTACGTTTTCTTCATCTACGGATAGCCGCTGTCGCTTCTGCATAGTGTTCCTGGATTGAGTAGACGAGTCTTGCTGTCTGCAGGTTTGATGATGTTGATAATATTTTCTCGCTTGTACCTGTCAGTACAACTGACTTAGACTGAATTTTAATCATAAATCGAGCTAACAAACCTTAATTTTAAACTGAGTACAATCTTATCATTGCCATACCTCCTGATTAAAATCCTAGCGATGTGTTTGTTTAATAGCTGCCTAAAATTTTCACTGGATACTAACCCATGACAAAGCGTTCAAAGTGATCTTGGTTCACAATTCACGTGATTATAATCCTGGCCATGTAACCATCGCTGAAACAGACCACTTGTTTTCGCCCGCACACGAGGATCTACATTTTCCTGTTAACTAACAACGACACCATCGACTACGCCGAAAATATCGGCGAAAAATCTCAGACTTCTCTACAATTTTCGAAATAATTTCTTGCGGCACGCTAACTCTACACTAGGCAGTACTCGTCTGCTGGAAAATCTTCAAATTTTCTCGTTGAAGAATACACTTCATCAGCACTACCAAGCGTATTGTGGGAAGATAACCAACGCTGAGTTGACTTAGGGCTTTTAGTCTACGTGGCAAACATAGAAGAATCTGTATGGCAAACTAGATTTTCTCTATAACTCTTCGACAGAACATCTCGAATTAAATCTGGCACACAGGCACTTGTGCGTCACTACATGACGAACATTCCACACATAGACTGAATATCTAAATACGAAAATTTTTCTTCTCCGAAATAGTGCCCACTCTCCTAAGTTTATCTGCGAAATGCATTTTGATCACCCTCAGACACCCGGAAGTTCTCATCCTTATCACATCGAGTCTTCCAAGAAAATATCTTCACCAACTGCTCACTCTCTTCCTACACCAGCTCACAGTATCGACGGAAGCGCATCTTCTACTTATACAGAAATGTATCCAGACGGAATTTCAAGTAAGCGCAAGCGTGAGTCCGATGATATTGAGGAACGAGAACTTAAGAAAGTTGATTTTGGCTACGGCCGACTTCGCCTGGAAGACCTACATTTGGATACTGGCAAAAAGTATAAGCTATGTCACACTCGTAAGGCTTCCATTGTTTTGTATTTTTGAACCCTCACAAGTGTACTTGGCATATTACCTTTCTTAGATCATTTCGGTATTTGGAGCAGCTGGTTAACTTTGTTTGACATTCAGCGCATTCTCCTGCCATACCAGATCTCAAGGAAGACCTCTTTGAAATATATGGTTTAGAAGCAATCGCCAAATCTGTAGCTCGTACAAATCCAGATGGATCAAAGGGAGTCAAACTTCGGAAAACATACAAGAATCACATAAAAGATCATCAATTAAGTGGAAACTTTGATTCAATTAAAAAAGAAATGGACGCTTCAGATACGCTTTACGCTTTATTGACTACACCTGACGAAGAATGGGATGCAATGTATCCAAACGGTAAGGATGTATTAAGGGGTATATGTAATCCTGTAAAACAACTCACAGGAAAAGCTTTTACAATGAGTCGGGGTACCATACCAAAGTCTTCCTGGAGCAATTCTATACTTGGAGAATTAGTACCTCCATCAATTTCTCCTGAACAATCTCGGCCCATGGCTTCCAAGCCGAACCAGCAGCAACACTCCAGTTACACAAAAACTAAGAAAGTGGAGGGTCCACGTCCCAAACGTAGTATAAAAAAACGGACATATGGTGATACGAGCTACGAAGGTTACGGCGAGGGATACTTTGATGATGAAGGACACGAAGTGGACTTCGATATTAGTGGAGAAAATCTGAGTAGGAAGCGGCCTAAGAAGGTTAGTATATTCCATACGCTTTACGAGCAGTATTTTATATCTAATATCCTAAAGTCGGCACCAAGCCACGGCTTTCAAGGTGCCTCAGCTCGACACAACAGTTACGGCCCTGGTATGGTCGGAGCATAAGGCTTTGCTATTAAGTTTCCTCATTCGGTCCACTAGGTTTCAGGTTCTATTATTGGTGGCTTTATCATAGTAAACTACCACCAAACTTTCATTTAACTATATCAAAGCATTGAGTTCTTCAACTTGGTACAGATAAAAAATAAGAACTAATGCGCTCGTGTGCAAGACTTACAGGTTTTTTGGGACAGATTTAGCGGGCCAAACTAGTAGTCGTTTCTACAAGGCCATCGCTCTATGGGCAAGGATGAAACTTGGAATTTCAGCACGGAGTTCAACCGGTTTTCTCTAAATGGTATACTCAGCATTCATGTATACATGAGACAGTGTCCCACTAGACATAGATCTACATGTTCCAACCAAAAGTATGAATGGTTTCCATGGTCATTTTCAAAAGGTGACTCATAAATCTTAAGCGATACAACATGATGTTACATTGCTCTATATAATCTTGGGAAAAAGTGGGATATTCAGGTCCTAAAACCCTGCAGAACAGGGACAAAATACCTAGTGTTTATATAGATATTAGAAAATTGAGATTAAATTCATCATAAACTTCAAAACAAGTGATTCCCTACCATCCCTTTATACCATGTCATGAATTTGAATACGAATGCTTATAACCCCTGCAAGACGACGAGAAGGGTTATTTCACAAAATTGCGTCGGCTTTTGCGACTGATGTAAAATCGCATTTCTTTTCTTATCATCGAACATTCACAGTCCATGACTGTTCGGGAATTTAGATCCTCTCTGCTACAGGCGAAGAAAAGCTATAGCTCAATTATTTTGTACTTTCCTTTGCATCCTTACCGCCTTGATCCAACGCTGCCGCTCTTCACAAAATTTGATTCAATCATATACTGAAAGGAGATTACTAGGTTTCATTGTATACCTACCACCGATGAAATGAGTGCTGTTTAAGTGTTCGTTTGTTTGCACATTAACATTTTAGGTAATAGTCCCTCTCCGCACTTACTTGGGACATTAAAACAATGAGGCTGGGCTGAATCAAGTTACCTACCAATGAGTATATGAATCTTGTCGTACCTTAATGACTAAATCACCTTAGCCTTCACTTGTGCGTTGAATCATTCTAAGCTTGACTGTCCAGAGTGCGTTTTTTGGAAGTACCACAGCGCAAATTCATCCCTAGCCTCAATGAAAATGCGTCTAAATCCTTGAAACATCTCCAATCTGCTAATTTTAGCTCTCACTTTAGTCCTAGCCCTATCTCGTCTAAGTATTTCCTTATATGATCCAGGAGTTGCTTGCTTTATTGGAGGCCTTATACAGTCGCCCAGCGCGTCCTCTCTAATTTCGCTCCTAATTTCTTCCTTAATTGTAATTTCACCTATATCCTTCGCTCAGTCTGGAAACCTTAAAGGCTTTTTAAGCTATCCATCCCTCCATCCTTGAACCGTTACAACCATTCTCCTAGGTTTGAGTGCAAAATATAGGAAAAAACACTCAAACCTGTTATGAGGATGCTTTTGCCTTCAATATACCGGTGGATATGCCGGCGATTCATCCAAAATCGAGTTGATGGAGTCCTTAGCTGAGGTTTACACGTATTTACAGCCGACACTTAGACCGCTTATAGAGTGAGTGGCAGTTACGGAGGGTTAGAAGTTCTCTTGTAACATAGATTATGAATATTAGACTCTTGACTACGCTGATAGGCGGTAAGGCGTTTTAAATGCGAAATATCTTTCAGGAAATATGGGGAAGGTGAAGAATGTCAGATGTTTCAGTATGAACAATGAGCAGGTGCCAGATTGTCTGTGTTTTCGAACTAGGGTGCAGACTGTTGAGGTAGAAAGATTATGCAATCGTGAGAATACCGCAAGCCGGGCTCGCCACTAGAAATATGCTAAGGCCACTCCTTCCGATCAAATCTCTCAGACAACCCCTAAGTCGTGACCTGGACTAATTCCTAAGTGATTATTCCACACAGTGGCGTAGGGGTATCACTGACAAGTATTCAAATATCATTCTTAGTGATGGTCAAGCATGTACATGTAGGAAGACAAAGATTGAACACCTTTCTGCGACGAGCTCTACGAACTTGGGGATGAAATATTCTCCCAAAGATATGTCCAGTCAAATCTCGCAATACCAAAGAAGTGGGTCTACGAGGCAATGATTCATCCTCTTGGCTTGTTCTTTGGTGTAGTTTGAGTAACCTGGGCACTTACACCACTTGGAAAGGAGAAGCATTAGACCACATTTCGCGCATATATATGTTTGCACAACTCAGGATTTCTGAGAATTTTGCCTGGGTGGAATTCACGGATGAGGGCTTCCTTTGGGTGAGGAAAAAGCCGCCAGAACTTTGTCGAGGTAATTCCAAATGGAATCAGAGGCATGAGTACTCTAGTATTGAAATGGGTCATTTTTCATGTAATTTTTCTTTGATGTTGTGTCTTTCTTTGCAACTTAATTAAATTGCGTATATAGCTTTCTAGCCATGACACAATATCAATGGAAAGTAGTGGTATTGTGTCAAAGTCAGCTAGCTGTATACGAAATTCAAATCAGATGTAAAAAAAAGACACAACCTTAACTAAGGATTAAGTGTCTTGTGTTTTTCTCTCTTTATTATTTCGTTTTGTTGTCCTATCTGAATCTATTACTATATAGGACATGTAGGACCTCTCCGACTTCAGGCTAAGGATGCCTATACCAGTAGTATATCCCCTCCTATGCCTCCCATACAGCTCCCAACAAACAGTACCACCCCTCGCAAGTCCTCATTCGATCATACACTTAGAGGAGCCCTTAGCCACTCATTACCTCCTCTCTTTAGCCAACGAAACGATAGCCATTTGCGGGTGTATAGCAGCCGGGAAAAATCGCAAAAACCACTGGGTGCGGAACTCTCCTATTACCGACATTAGGACTAAATCCGAAGACGTAGTGACCCTTGTGAAGCGTTCGAAGAGGCCGACCATCAGGGCACTGCTGACTTGTGTGTACCTCAGAAAATTCCCATTCTACCTTTCTAGCCTCCTTCCAACTACTTCCTGAAGGTCGTGCCGAAATATCAGAGGAGTCATGACAGGGCATGATTGTTGTGTGGTAGCTTAGCTCAACCTCTTTTGTGCCGTCTGGGTTACTAGGGAGAACCGTTGACTCATCAACAAAAGGAGTCCTCCTAGCTAATTAGCTGAAATCTTGGTCCTGGCGCCCACAAAAAATCCAAAGTTGAAAACCCCTCGCAAATGTCAGACCCAGCATAGTCTTCAGAGACCTCTTTCCCCTCTCACTTCACATATCAGCCGCCTGTCCTTCCTCAAGATGTGAAGCCCCATTAGAGCAGCAGTCCCCCATAAACCAAGACCCCAACTTTGTATATTATTACTTAATTTCCTCCTTGCGGGTATACGTAGCTACGTAAATTTGTAGTGAGTGATGGCCGGTAATTATTGAAGCGAGCTCCTGTTTCCAATTGGGGTGACGCCTCTATCGGTCGGCGAGGCGAGATGATGCGTGGTTAGAGGGAGGTTGAGGACTCAGATGAGAATGATAAGAGAGGCATTGTAGAGAAGTCGTCAAATGGGGATATGCTTGAGGTTGCTTTCGACTTCGATTCGGATGACATTCTTCTTGGCTATCCCAAATATGCAGAGTATACTGAGCAATCACACCGGCACCACTGGAAGGTGAGAATTCGTCTTTGCCGGCTCTTTATATTAGATACGGATTGCAGAAATTAAGGCTAATTTCTATGCCTTACTGTTAGTGGCGTTGTAAATGAGCTTTTAATCATCCGGATCAACAAGTGTCAAATCAGCTGTTCACTCGGTACGAAGTTGGTGAGGATGCTGATCGTTCTATCTTGGGACTAGACTGCATATTGAAAACATCATGCCTTTTAGTGATTCATTACTATATACCCTTGTGTACGAAATGGTAAATTATTCATATCCAAAATGATAGTGTGAAAACAGTAAAATACATTGTCCCTGAATTTTTTGGAATAGTTTCAGAATTTCCACAATATCAGCCAAGTCATAATTAGTCCGAAGACAACCAAGTCATATGCTAGACTAGATTTTTCATGACAGTCGTGTGGCATCTAGTTTCAATGAAGGCGATATTAGGATTGATGAAGAATTATTACTAAATCATCGCTCAAAATGATTCACGCTAGCTACACTACAACATTTTAAAAATAAAACATGCAGCTTTCTGTACAAATTGAGGCATGGCGTAATTTTTTCGAACGCTGCCTCTCAAATCGTCTTGAACCCACTGACTTTACAACATTCGCAACTATCCTTCATCAACAGCATCCGCTCCCATCATTCTACTTATGCACACTATTTCTCTCTCCAACATCGGGCAACAACATTTGCCTTGATCCAAAAGCCTCGCGATACGTTCTATGTCTTTTGAATCTAGGATTTGTTGATATACCTAACATATTACGTGCACTATGGCGTTCATCTACCTGTCGCGCTATAAATTGTGAACAGTTGAATGGGGGCCAAGGAAATTCATGGACTCGCTCATTTAATGCCGAAGAAGCAATCTTTTACCGTCTAACGAAAATAATATCATCAGGTCTAGCTCTAAAAATCGTCAAGGAAGCTGTTGAAACTGTTGAATTATGTACCCAATGGTTAGAAGGAACTATTACACTGGCGCAAGCTCAACATCAGCTACTAGCGCTTTTGAACGTACAGAGCGATGAAGTTACCGCACAAATAATGGCTACAGGTACGTTTGTAGTGACTGTTCTAGAAAATGAATTTATCCAATCAGCCATCGCCAAAGGTCATGTTAATAAGACTTCACGAAAGAGGCTTGAAAAAGTAGTATCTAATTTCATAACCTTGATGCTCTTGCATTGGCCACAAGGAGTAGATCGTTTGGAAGCATTTAGGACGGAAACTTTGCCTGCAATCGAGCCTGTGGAGAAAACTAGTAAAAGTGGCGTTGACAAAGATATCGACGACATAATTGGAGAGGGTATAAGTGGTGCAATATCAGTAAATAATATGGTGGTCAGTGAGATGGACGAAGTTAATACACGAGTTGGCTTGTACATATTTTTGAGCTCATTGGTAAGAGAACCCCCAAAAGCCTCTAAACGCTTATTTATTCTTAATAGCTTGTTGGTAGACCATTGATTGACGATAATGCAATATTTAAATTTCTAAACAAACGCTACCAGGTGAAACGCATTTCTATAACTAAGTTTCCTTGGCTTACGCTTCAAGCAGGGTGATTTGCGTTCAACCGTTGTGGATCTGATCCTAGCGGCCTTTGATGTTCTTGCTAATGCGATGGTTCGGAACGAAAAAGACCAAACAAAGAACCTCCTCAGATGTTTCTTGATAAACAAATTGCCGCTTCTTTTGAGTACGCTATGCACTCAGCTCTTTCCGCCTATTACCTCGGAAATTTGTATTACTGAAGCTTTAAGTCAGGTTGACACTACTAATTTTCCCACACTCTCTGCCATGTTTGATGAGACGAGTGGTAATAACATGTTCCCCGAATCAGTTCGTCAAGACTTTTGTTTTGCTTGCTGCTTGCATGGATTAATTGCCGAATCTAGTATTGAAACTCTATTGGGTGATGTGCCAATTCAAAGTTTGCCGGCTGAAGGTAGATATCTGAAAAATGAACTGGTCCAAAAATGCTTGTCAGAATCAGATCGAGTCGAAAGAATGATCGATGAGTTAGAGTATATGGATGGAAATGTTGGTGCTAACAGCCAGGCAATCACTGAGGTATGTTTTATATCCAAATGTAGTCATGGGCTGACAAGCCCAGCTGATCACAAGGCTTTGCAACAACAAGGAGACCATGGCCTTGAAATCTATTTGCGATAAACTAGTGAGGAATCCCTCTTCATTAGACATAATGCTTCTATTTGATAAGCCTTTATCAATCCTCCAGCCCATCTGCGACTTACTAGACAATTGGCACTATGATGAAGATCAAGGTGAATATCAACCTGTCTACGAGGAATTCGGATCCATCTTGCTTCTACTCCTGAGCTTCGTCAAAAGATACGACTTAACGCCACTTTCGTTAGGCCCTCGTCCATCGGACTCTTTTGTCCTGAAAATAATACAAGTACCTCGTACTACTTCCCATAGTTCTCTCTCACAAACAACGCAATCCCACCTCAAAAGCTGGCTTCTTGGTCTTTTTTCTCCTGAAAACAGTGGCCTCACAGACGATCTTATGTCATCCTGTCCACCCCAGGACTTTTATCTTTTAATTCCTTCCTTATTCTCCAGTATAGTCCTCGCTTCCTCTACCTACGGTCTTGTCTCCACGACACTTTCTTCTGGGCTTGAGTATCTAGTAGATACCTTCTTACTTCCATCTCTTGTTCCAGGAATTTCATTTCTTGCGACACACTTATGGGAAAATCACGGTGATAAAGATGCTGTAGTTCAAATACTCTCTTCCCTCATCATTACTCCACTTTCCAATACAAATAATATTAATAGTGAAGCTGTACAAAAGCTTGGTGTCGTTCTAAATATCACTGCAAAGGAATTGGAACACTCTCTACGATGGCTCCAACGTGCAGAACCTCAGCGTCAAGACATTGAACCACTTTCTAAAGCCTTGCGATGCTATCTTGGATGGGAGCGTTGTGCGGTATCTCAACACACGGAACTTGAAAACTGGACATCTACCAATGGTGGTGGCCTTTTAATGGCTATCAAGCAAACTATAACAAATTTGCTGCAATGGCATCTTCAACCTGATGGTAATCCAGCAAACTATACTCACCGTCAAATCCTGGTTGGTGTTAAAATCCTCGGCGCAAAAAGGGTTATAAAACTTATTCTTGAAGAATTAAAATCCGGAATTGAGGCAGGTCATGGAGGAGCTGCACTCGATATCGCGAGTGCTATAGTGAGTAGCAGTGATGCCACAGCTTGGGACTCTACATTTGGACTTGGTAGTACCGTAGGTAATAATGAAGGAACTCGATACCTCCAACGCCGCATGAACCTTCGAGAAGCTCTCAAAAATGAAGCTTATAATGCCCCAAAATTGCAACGGACTGATCCCTTCACTGCTGAAACCATAGTGCGACTTTACCGTAAAGTCGAATCTCTCGTCGTAAATGGAAATATAGAAGACCACGAGGTTTTGACAGCAGCAGAACTCAACGCTGTAGTTGATATGAGCGGCTTAGCTCAAACGGACGGTAACCATGATGATATGTCAGGTCTCGATAATATAGGTACAATGACAGGATTGGATATGGGTCACATGGTGAATTTTGATGGACTCGATGATGGTTTCGCCGAAACAGGGGTCAACTTGATGATCGAAGGAGATTTCATGAGAAGTGAAGAAAGACGAGTAACTCTGTTGGAAGGGATGGAATTCTAGCGAGGGCTGGTGAAATAATTAGAAAAGGCATCGAGCGACGGTTTGCAAAAAAAGAGAAGATTTACGGTTGATAAAACGCCTGTCCAATTAAGCACCGCATCAAATCATTTGGCTGAACATTTTAATGTTCTTTTAGCCCGACTTGGTAAAGCTAGATGGTGCAAGCGTGACATTAATGCTGTCGCATACTTTCTCTAGGATGTTATCATTTCATTTCTTTGCTGGATCCTGTTAAGCCATCAAAAATAAGTCCATAACTGACGGTACGTTGCGAAAATTATCTCAACCTAAATTATTGAATAGTGTAGAATATATATCGCATGAATCTCATGATCGTCCAGAAGGTGGTGGCTGATACTGTTGTTGATATATACAGTTATTTACTACTTTATCTTCAGGGTTATAAGCTGAAGATCTAAGTCCAATATTTATTCGGTTCTAGGGATTGAAACTAAACATATGTTAGCGGCTAGCCCTATGAACCTCAAGCTCTTAATGTCAGTCTTCAGAGCAGAGGTGATGAAGTATATCTTTTCAAATTTGAGCTGGACAGTCTCCCTCAAAGATTCACCAAGGAGAGGCACGTGGGACACGGTATTACGTCGTAAAAATTGACTAAGAAGCCGTATAGTTTGAGTTTGAATTTGAAATCTTTGACGTGACTGGACGGGCTCAACATTCATTTAGACGTGACACGGGTATTTTTTTAAAAATCATTTAATTTATATTCAGCTATCTAGCTATGACATATGACCGGTGCTAAAAGTCCTCAATATTCGGGAGAGAATTGATTAGACACCCCATTACCATTATCATTATCATTACCGTTCCCTTCCGACTTACATACATTTACACTAATCCGAATTCTCTCAGTAGCAAGACCCCGGATCTCCAACATGCCTCCGGGGTCTGCCAAATCATCGCGACTTATTCGCCTTGAAAGAACCATTGATAGAGCGAATACCAGGTTTGAAAAGTGCTTGGCAAAAAAGAATATACCATTGAGCTCGATAGACTGGCGAAAATTGGAGCTGGACACTACCGAAAGGACAAGAGCCTTCGAAGAAGACTCTAACTCCACGAACCCCGATATCGAAATAGGTGATGCGGTTGTTGACTGATATATCATGGAGGGACTTGAGAGCTCACGATGGAATATAAATGAACCAAAAGACGGTTAGGTCTCAGGGGCCTCCGCTATTAGAGTCACGAGAAAGATTGCTGTGCCGGACATAAAGCGGACAGCTAATGCTAACTTAAAAAAAGCCGACGAAGTCGCGCCCATCACAACACCTCAGAATATCATTCCGGGGGCAAGAAGAAACGATCAATCTTCTTGCAGCGATACTAGCTCTAAGAACACTGCGACTTGTCCTCCCGAGCTTCGAGCCATACTTGAAGCCGTAGAACAGCGGGCGGCCCAGACCGCATTTAACCTTACAATATGCACCGCTGCCATCAACGGTGTGGAGAATGCACTCGCACCTCTATCCAAAGGGCTGAGTGTTCAATTTATAGACTCCATGAAAGTCTACCTTAGAGCTGCAGTAGCTCAATTCATGTTATCGGGACCAGGAACAGTCCTTCCCAACCTCCCTCCACAACCAAACTGCCAGAATCATGGCGGAAAGATCGTGGAAAAATCAATACAAAAGCAGCTAGAGCAGCTACAAAAAGAGAACCAGGCGAGGATAACTTCGGTCAAGCCTACCTGGGCAACAGTTACCCGAACTGGCCTCCACACGCCAGCAGCACCTGTGAAGGATGTGCGGGTCCACAACGAACCCTCTGCACCAATGAGACCTCTAGCAAAGGCTTCGAAAACTGCCCTCAAAGATAATCATTTATTTTTTCGACCCGGAAAAGAACATGCTTAGCGCGCTCTCTCGCCGGCCGGTGTGCGAGATGCGGCGATAAAAGTGCTCGAGCTTCCCCCGCAGAATATTGAACACGTATACCGTGTTCCGACTGGCTTCGCACTTCGAGCCAAAAGCCAGGAGGTACGACAGCTCCTTCTGGACTCTGCTGAATCTTTCGTCCAGGTAGACGTAATCCTGGAGAAGGCCTCAGATTTAGTGGCCCTTCGTATTGCGACAATTCCCGTTGCAATTCACACACTCCTAGGAAAAGTAGTTGTCTGCGACGAGATGGTAGCAGATGAAATACTCCGAGTCACTAAAAAGGTTCTGGTAAGGGTTCGCCCTCATGGAAAAGGGAGAGTCGGAGCCCCCTACCAGACATGGGTAGCTCATTTCGAAAGAGCGTCAGTCCCTAGACCAGGCTTCCGACTGTTCGACGACTCGGGAATCGCTGTTCGCAATCAGTCACGCCAAACTGTGAGCCAATGCAACCGATGTCTCTTATACCACGGGACTCAGAGCTGCTCGCGCGCCCCAGTGTGCTGGAACTGCACCTCAACAATGCATTCCACGTCGGAATGCCAAACAAATATCAAGTGCCGCAATTGCGGTGGCCCCCATAGATCAGACAGCCATGATTGCCTGGCTCGCTCTAACAAGTCTGGAATGGCATCTAAGGAAACCCTCGAAAGAATCAAGAACGCTAGCCAACGCGAATATGCCGCGGTGATCCGAGCAAAAACCGCCGTTCGACGAGCAGAGGCCGACATCAAAGCCGCCACTGAATCAGCCAAAACAGCTCCACCGAACTACAGCTCCAACAACAGAGATGAGGTTCAAATGGTGGATCAGACGCCAAATGTTACTGAGGTCAAAGAGGCGACTATTCTAAAAAATCACTAATAAAGGGCGCCACACGAGCCCCTTTCTGCCACCCCTCTACTCTAAATTTTGTATCAATAAACGTAGGTAGGGGAGGTACGGCGCAGAAAATTGCACTCGCCCGAGCATTCGAGCTGAGTGTCGACGTTGTTCTAATTCAAGAGCCTCGATGGAAGGAAGAGACAATGTCGCATCCTGGATACATTTGCCATTTACCTCATGGTGGCGAAAAGGTCAGGCCAAGGGCTGTGACCTAGACCCGGAAGGATGATAGGACGATATCGGGGAGGCAATTCTTCCCCTATTCTTCGCTGATGGGCGACTATTGCTGGGTATTTGTTAATGGAGTCACCTTCTTCATCGTGTACAAGGCACCTAGAGACACGTCAGCTATACAACCACTTGTCAACTGGAACCCGCCGCCGAACTCGGTCGCTGCGGATGATTTCAACTCTGTATACTGCGCCTAGTAAGCCGGAGTCACTCGCCCTTACAGGAAAGGTGATGTGATTGAAAATTAGGCAGAGGATCACAATCTAGCCAGCCTTATTGTTGGAGTACCTACGCATAAAGCTGGAAATACCTTAGACCTAGTCTGGACCAAAATCAACGGCAGCCGTGCATGAGTAGACCACGATGAATGTGTCACCAGCGACTACCTCCCTATCCGAGGGATAATCCCGATCCAGTCCTCAGTGTTGAGACCCAACCTGGGAAAGATTCGAGTAACGAGGGAAAGATTGCCTTACTCTGCGCGAGCTGTCTCTAAATTAGTCCGTCTACCACCAGTTCTAGATACAATTGAAAAGTTTGAAGACTACGCCCAGGAACTTTGCATAAAGCTAAAGACTGCCATTAATGCTAAAGTAACTCGACCTAGAGCAAACAGCGGTAAATCAGCCCCATGGTGGACTCCGGCGTGCAAGGAAGCATGGGCTGATTATCGAGCGGTCAAATTACCCCTCCAACGTGCTGTGTATGCCAAAAAGCTCCGATCAGTCATTAGAGCTGCCAAAAAGGAACATCAAGCACAGCAAGTGGAAAAAATGAACACATCGAGCGATGTCTATAAGCTGATGAGAATGGCTGGTCCTAGATAGACAAATATCCCCCCACCCCTCAATCACAACAGAGTTCTCATCTCTGATCCGCTAGAGCGAGCAACAGTTCTCCGAGACTCTCTCCTGGCAAGACACCAAATTTCAGAGGACCTGCCGCCTTGCACTGCCACGAGCAACAACCGGATACCATGGAAGGATGACATCTCCAAGGAAAAAGTCCGAGCTTGTACAATCGGCTGTGGAAACACGGCTCCGGGAGCAGACGGAGTCTCCGTACAGCTGCTAGTGGCCTGCTGGAAGACAATTGGACCATGCATAGTCAAACTCTTCAGAGCTTGCACACAGCTTGGTACGCATCCGACTTGTTTTAAATTGGCCGAAGTAGTACTTGTACAGAAGCCTAAAAGGGACCCAACAACAGTCAAAGGATGGAGACCAATTGCCCTCCTCTCTTGACTTGGTAAAGGTCTTGAAAGACTTCTGGCAAAACGGATGGCGCACTTAGCAGTGACCTGTGATGTGGTTGGTCTACAACAATTAGGTGCACTATCGAGGCGCTCAGAAATAGATCTACTCTCCTGTGTAGTACATGATGTCGAGGAGGCGCGCACACAAGGATGGGCGGCCACTTTCGTCACCCTAGACGTAGAAGGTGCGTTCAATGCAGTTCTTCATAACCGCCTGGTGAGAAGGATGCAAGAACATGGATGGCCAGACTCAGTTCTAAAGTGGACGACGTCGTTCCTTGCACAACAAATGGTCCTAGTACGACACTTGGAAGGAGTCACGACAGACCGACAGCTAGTCCGCGGGGTACCACAGGACTTGCCTCTTCTCTTTCTTCTGTACATGGTAGAGCCAATGCGCACTGGTGCAACTAATCTGAGGTTTAGCTACGCTGACGACATCGGTATTCTTAGATTTGGCCGCACCACTGTTGAGTCCGCTGTAGCTGCTCAGATAGAAGTCGATCACCTACTGGAGTGGGCTCAGAAAAATGCTGTCCAATTCAACACAGAAAAGTCAGAGGTAGTACAATTTCCACCACGGCATTGCGAGGAAGCTGTTGGCATCCAAGTAAACGGCACTTTCCTAGAACCAGCTGAACAATTTCGCTGGCTTAGAGTTTACCTTGATCCGCATCTCAACTTCAAACATCATGTGATGACGTGGTCTTGAAAAGTAATAAAAGTTGCAC